TTACATAACGATCTCGCAATTATCGACAATTTAGAAGAAGCATACTCGAATTTGGCCCTGAAAACGCTAAAGTCGATGGAGTACGCGTATCAGCAGTTTCACTTTCAATATTTGCTTAAGGTTGCGCGTGGTCAGTCTGAATTACCCTTCATCAGGTTTGCGCTTCTTGCAGGTGGACTCGGATTCATTTGTTCGACTGGGTGCAGTCATCAAAGCACTGAAGGATATACAACATCCTCGTCTCTATTGGGGATTTCTAGATGGCAGAGCGAAACCTATCCGCAAAGGAAAATGGCGTGAAGCAGACTGGATTCTATGTGATCGCTATTTGCCATACCAGGTGCGAATGTGAAATATTAGGCGCAATCAGGATCGAGAGAATACGTTTAAAGGAGCGTTAGAAAGGCACACGCAAAGTATCTCAGTTATGAAAATTGTTGCTGTATTTGATTAATAACACATCATTTCTTAGCCTTCTCAAACAGTATTATTATTAGCACATAAAAAAGAACGAAATCAGGGGCACCCTCTTGGTGCTGCTTTGACCCGTTTTGGGATCACATCTAGCAAGGCTTTTTTAATCTCAGTTTTACTGTTGTTTGTAGCTTGGAGGTGGTTATGTTCTCTCTTATGAGTTGGTTCGCTTCCTGGCACTTAATGCACGCCTCTTCAAACTGTATAAAAATGAGGACGTCTCTGTGGGTGCTTGGCTTGCAGGTGAACGTTTTTCAAAAGAAATTTTACATTCGGATTATATCTCTTGTAGGGCTTGATATTAAGTATGTGCACGATCCACGTTTTGATACAGAATGGAAATCTCGAGGGTGTAATAACGAATACCTCATTACACATAAGAAGACAGCTCAAGAGATGGAGGTCTTATACAGTAATCTTGTAAGGTTTTGTTGGATCGCACTTAGAAGATCTAGCATTAAATAAAAATCATTTTCCTCTTGCAGGTGAATCTTCGAGTTCTTTGTGAGAAAGAATACCGTGTTAGGTATTCATATGTGTATGACTGGACAGCATTACCGAGCGAATGTTGTCAGCGAAGGAATGGAACAAATATACCGTAGCCTAAATTACACTTCTCTTCTTGAGGCACTTGATGTATATAATCTGGTCTTATCAGGCCAAATGAGAAGTAAGCTGCAGAAGGACTTGCCACAATTCAGGCTAACTTCATCTGTAGAAAGCACAGTGCAAATGTTCTAATGTGGAACTGATTTTACCTGATGCTTTAAACTCT